CACCAATTGCAAACAAGATGGCATACGGCAGACGGGGCCGGGTGAGTGGGTTGGTGAAATCAGAGTTGGAGGGCCCATTCATGTTTAGGTCATACATGGCCTTTAGGGCGTTGATAATGACTGGCTTGCACTCTTCACTGTCTTTCACATAGTCATTCATTTTAACATTGTTCATGAAATACTCGGCATGCATCAGGGCCAGGCGAACCTAAACAAAAAAAAAAGGAATAAAAAAAGCGACCATTTAGGTGGGGTAAGAATACTTGAAAAAGCTATCTCCCTAACCATAATGGCTAGCAATTCCTTATAGTGAATTGCTACAGGGTTTGTTTTTTAAACCCAAGTTATGAATTGTTTTTGAATGTTATTTGGCATAAATTTCCATACCAAGATAGAACTGGGTGCCCCAAGAAGTCCTGTGGTCCATTTTCCTGCCCCTGGCCAAGACTATTCAAACCATCCCAGAAAATGATTTGCTCTCTTCCTCAAAATTTTCCATAATAATAGCTTTTACTATAGAGCACTTTTAGGATTTACAGAGTACTTTCCTCTTGACAACCCTATGAAGCAGATCATGCAAGTATTATTTTACAGATAAAGAAACTGAGGCTCACAGAATTTGAAATGACTTGACCATAGCTAGGGTCAGAGAATCAGCACTTAAACCCAGGTCATCTGACTCCCAAGTCCAGTGCTTTTCCCACTGTGTCATAGCTTATGCAAATATATGACCTGATGGGCATAGTACTTTGAGTCAAGAACTTGGACTTATTTTAATGGGTCTTCAGTGTTGACCTCATATCCTTTTTTCCAGCAGAGGTTTCTAGGATTTTGGAGTTTATATCAATAAGTATGTCTAGAGTGAAAAACAGGGTGAAGAGCAATCAAATGACAATCCCAAGGGGAAAATTAAGTCTCAGAAACAACAGAGAACAAGTAGAACTGGGTGAATAATGTACAGATCACGCAACATCTTATACTGCTGGTATTCAACTATTTCATGTATCTGGATATGAACCTTGGGGAAACTCCTGGAGTAAAGGAACCAACAAAGAGTAGTTAAGGTAATCTAAAAGTAATAATTAAACTTGACCTTGGGCAGCAAAACTGAAATATGTTGCTTCCTATTTTGGGGGTCATGGGAAATCCACTTTAAAATTGCTTCAAAGACAGCATCTTCTTGCTTGACGTTGAGCTCGTCTTTCTCAATGATGTCCTTCAGCTCAGTGACTGAGAGCTCTAAAAACTCTGCGGAGACCTTGACCATCTCCTCAAAGTTGTGAAGAATGAACATGTATGCCTTTTGCCTTAACTCTGGGCAGTAATAGTAGTCTGTGAATTTGCAGATGCCGATACAGTTATCCAAACACAACTCTGATTTGAGGAACTCACAGCAACCCCGGACAATGCCCATGATGTTGAACTGATCCGCTGCAGCTAGCAGCTTCTCTACGTTGTCTGGGGTGATGGGGACAGTCCGGGTGTAGGCATATTCAATAATTAACTTCATCATATCAGGAGAAATACCAGGAATGTTGTACACTTTCTTTTCTGTGTTGTTCCAGCCACTTGTAAACAAAGCTCTGGGAAAAAAACAACACCAATAGTAGTCAAAGAAAATGGTATCTCTCTCCAGTCTCTCCATGTCTTCCTCTTTTCTCAAATGAGGGGAAAGTTTGGGATGCTACTTAAACAATGAGGAGGTGGGAAGCATGCTGGGAATAGATCAAACTTATGAAGGCATGGGGTAAGGGGATGGCATAGAGGAAAAAGGAAGATGCTTTAGAAGTACAAATGACTAGAAAAGAGAGTAGGAGGGTGTAAATAATATCTTCCTAAGCACTTTCGATACTGTCAAAACTTTTTAGCCCTAAAATAGGTTTTATTGTCATTTCATTGTTGGAGAAACAAATGAGAGGTTAAGTAGTTTACTGTAGGTAGACAGGTGCAGTACTCTGACCTGGAACTAGAACTCAGGTCTTTTGCCTCCTTACTCATCTCGTGCATTTATTAAGTGCCTGCCCTGTGCAAGGTACCATACTAGGCCTTGAGATTATTAAGGACAAAATGAAGCAGTCTCTGCCCTCCAGAAGTTTACACTGGGCACACAACATGTACACTGAATGGAAACTATAAGGTAATTTGAGGAGAGAAAACTAACAATTGTCCATAGCCCATTGGATTCCACCTTGTTGAATGAAAATTAAACATCTACCAGAGGAAGACAATTTTTAAAATAAGCCAATACAATTAAAACTTAAAAAGGCTAAGGGAGGGAGGGGGCTATTATTTCTTTTCCTTTTCAACCTTGCTTTTAGAGGGAAGGTGGATCTAAGAGAGTAAAGTCTCTTATTATAATGAAGACTTGGAAGTAATATATCATTTACTAGCTTTCCATATGACCTGATTGCTTTAGGGCCCTGTCCTCAGCTTCTTTTGTCCTCCCTCTTAAATATTCCAGGGACTTCTGCTAAGAACCCCCCAACTTCTTTTTCCCTTTTGAACCCAAATCCTTGATAATCTCCATCCTCCATCTCATTAACCTCTTGATCCCTGTTTGAGAAGGGTCAGGGAATTTTCTATTGGGGAAGCTGAAGTAGTGGTTTTGACATCTGAGTTTAAGTAGGGAACCCAACATGTATGTACAACACCCCTGACCCCCAGGGGCTGGTGAACCAAACTTTGGTTCACCAAGGGGTCAAGGTGGGGAGATGAGAGAGTGGCTAATGCAGGAGATATGGCCTGGGAGAGAATTGAGGGGTGAAGGGATTGAAGATCACAGTGTGGATGAAGGGTCACCCCAAAACCAGAGTGAAGCTAGTTTGTTCCCCTCTTGGTGCTACATGCCTCTTCAGTGGACAAATAAGTCAAGGAGTGAGAAAGCCCAGATCAGGAGGGAAGTATGGGATAGCAACAACCCAAAATGCCTTGGTTGGTCCCCTTTCCCTTTCTCTCTCCAGCTCATTGGGGCTTCTGTGTTTAATACCTAAAGTAGGAACTGCAGCTGCAGAGGATGTTCTTGTGGGCATTGAACTCAAAGCCATTGACCTTGATGACCACGTCACAGAGCTTGCCCTCTAGCCTAAGCTCGTTGAAGATCTCACAGGTCATCGCGCTCATTTTCCTCTCCATGTGAGGCTGGTGGAACCGCGTGGAGGCCGCTGTGCTCTCCATCTCCATGGCACCCTGGGACCAGCAGAGGGGAACTGTTCTCCGAGGGTGTGGGGGGGGGGGGCCCGATCGCCAGCCGCTCTCTCCTTTTCCCTACTACATCTTTCAAATGGGGCCCAACAGGGTTCCCAAGTTCCAGAATCCTGTGCCAGCAGTGAGATCACTGTTAGGATTGTGCCTTGGGGTTCTGGAACCCCTACTCTTCCTTTTTACCTCTCTCCCTCACCACCACCTAACACAAGCTAAGAATCTTTCTTCCCCCAGCTCTGCCATCCTCACACCTGCAGCAGAACTATGCCAGCAGCAAACAGGTTTAATTACCAAAAAAATAAGTCTAGCCTGAAATATATATGCCCTGTATTGCCCTTATTCCTACCTGTACTCATCACCTTAATTAAGCTCAAGTTCTCCCATCCTCAGTATCTGCCTACAGCAGACACTTAGCATAGTACCCCGTATGTGACCAAGAGCTCTGTGGAAACCCAAGACAAAGGAAACAGAAAGCTGGTTCAGTTTTCTTCAGGCCCACTCTCAAATTTCTTTCAGTCCCCTGGGCATGTGTCATTTGGCATGATGGTTCATCAACCTCATTTTCAACAGGTTTGGAATCTGCAAGTTGGACCAATATTCTTGCTCTTTTTCATCCCACCCTGTGGTGTGGTGGAAAGAGCCTCCAGGACCTGGGTTTGAATTCCAGCTTTAGTCCTTAATACCTGTGTGATCTTGGGCAAGTACCTTCACCTCTCTGGGTCTCAGTTTCCTCATCTGTAAAAGGAAAGGATTGGACTAGATGACCTCTAAAATCCCTTCCAGCTCTAAATTTGTGATCGGATCCACTATATTCTAACTTCTCCTGGATAGAGGATGACAGTGAGGTTTCGAACCTGGGTGACTGGAAGGTTGGTGATGGCCCCGAGAGTACCAGGCAAGTTTGGAAGAGGGGTAGGTTTTTGGGGGAAGATAATATAATCTCATCTGTGATGAAGAACACAAGCCTGCTCATCCTGTAAGACTCACTCTGTCCCACTCAAAAGGAAAAGGGGTGAGGGCCAAGCCTGCTTTCTGAGCGGCAGCTGCTTCAGCCACAAGGTGATCTGGGTGACTGGCTGGTGGGCTGGGGTGGGGATGGAAGCCAGAGCAGGGTGTGTGGGTCTGTTGGGGTATAAAGGTAGGTTTGTTTGTATTGGAAACAAGCCCCAGGATTGGCTATCGTGGGATGCAATCTATCTTCCTACCCCTCATTGGTTGATCACACCCATTGGGGTCCGCCTAGCCCTAACAATGAAGACCATTAGCTAGAGGGACAAGGAGTACATACAGTACTATTTCTCTTTCTGGCAGCCTGGGTCTTGAGGCTGTTCCCCAAATCTGCCCCACCAAGCATTTCTCCCCCTCCTCCACCTCCCATCCCTAAACTCACCACAGTCTAACTGGAAACCAGCTCTTCTTTAAAGCTCTTCCCCTAACCTGGCTCCACTTCCATCCAAATGCCCCTGAAGAGGCATCTTTGAGTAATGAAAGGAGGAGAGAGCACCGGCTTTGGAAGGAGATGACTTGGGGCTGTTACTACCTGGGCGTGGCCTGGGGCAAGGTCACTTCATCTCTCTGGGCCTCAGTTTCCTCATTTGTGAAATGACTTTTGGACTAGGTAATCTTTTTCATGATCATCAATGATGTACTTCAAATTTCCCTTCTTTCCCTTCTGCGGGCTCGCCTCCCGCCCCCCCCTCCCCGCCTCAGCCACGCCCACCACCCATTGGCCACGCCCTCTCTCTCTCTCTCTCTCTCTCTCTCTCTCTCTCTCTCTCTTCCCCCCCTCCTCCGTTTCCATCCGCCGGCCTGGAAGTGGTTGGCGCCTGCGCATTAGTTCTTAGGGACGAACTATTTCTTCCGTAGCAAAAGCGGACAGGCGGACCATGGCGGAGGAGGTGAGAACATGGAAGAGGTGGCGGGACAGGGAGTGGGGAGGGGCCTCGGAAAGGAAGCCCCCCCTCTTCCCCCCCCAACAGGCCTGCTGGCTCCAGCGCCGGCCTATGCTAAAGCTTCATTGCCCCATCCTAGAATCGTTCATAGCTCCCAGCAAAACCTGCCATAGGAATGCCTTCCTCCCCGGCTCCCTCTGTAACCCTTCATAGCTCCCTGTGGAGCATTCCCTGGAGCCCCTTGGCCGTATGGCGCCCTTCCTCCACGCAGCCCCGCCGTACAGCGGCTGGTCCTAGCCGCACGACCCCCTCCCCACAGCGCCCCTTCCAGCAACCCTATAGCTCCTCTGTTACATAATCTCCCAGACTCCCCTCCTTGACATCAGACTTTATAGCGTCCTCGCTATACAGTACCCCTTTGAGCCCCATCACCACTCCCTGCAGGGCCCCTGCAGCATACCCATAAATAACCCCTTCTCGGGGCGCCGCTGCTATATATAACCTTCCATAACACTCCCCTCCTCCTCATAGCACCTGCACTTTTAGCTTTCCTCCATACCTAGTCTGCCATAGCCCACAAGCCTCTTCCCACAGATCCCTTCCTTAGCCCCACAGCTGCCCCCTACGGCATCTGCCCTATACATTTCTCTATACAGTGCTCCTTACATGTTTTTGCTCTAAAACCTTCCTCTCACTCCCTATCAGTCTAACAGATTCTTGCTTTATAAGCCTTCACTAAAGGACCCCTGACACTTCCCGCCCCCAATTCTTGTCAAGGCCTTTCACTTGTACCCCCGATTCCACTGCCACATTTTTGTTTCCAGTTCCCAAGATTTTCTTTCTGGTACTAGAGCCCTCTTAACAGGGGCTCACTGCTTCATCGCTGAGAAAACTGAAGGGACCAGACGACCTCTGAGGTCGCTTCTAGTTCTAGGTCTGTGGTTCTAAGTGCTGCTATTGGGTCTGGGTCTGGGTCTGTGTGGGGTGGGGTGGGGTTTGCATCGGGAATAGGTAAAGGAACAAGTGAAGGACCTGATGAAGGCTACAGTCCTCATGCGGCACCCGCAGCAGGTTCAGGAGATCATTCTATCCCTCAGGAAGGGAGGACGCAACAAATTGCAGGTATGTCTCTGATGTCCCCCCTCTTTTCCCAACTTGGGTGGAGCGGGAAGTTCTAATGGCTTGGATCTATTACCCAATGAAGGAAGAAAGAAAGAATAGTTTTTCTGCTGCGTTGTTTTAAGTATTTTTATACTTACCTTTCTTTCTTAGGAAAATCGATATCCCCAATATGGATAGGGTCCTAGAGGATGAGGGCTATCTGAATTATGTGCCACTACCACTCCCTCCCCAAAGAAAAGAATATTATTGATGCTCTTTACTGAAAAAAAAAAGTCACTATGCCTTCCTGATATATTCCTTGATCTCCTCACCTTGCAACCCTCTTTTATAACAAAGGAGTATAAAATTAAGTAAAACTGACCACATCGGAAAACTTGTTCTTCATTCAGTACCTTTAGTCCACCATCTTCCTACCAAGAAGAGAAAAGCAAAGTCTGCCTTGAGAAAGTTGAGGCTTGTGACTTGCCTTTTCCATATGGAGAGAAAACACCATTACCTTGCACCCCTGAAAACTCACCGCAGTAGCTTTATATCATAGGCATTTGATGAGATTGTCCCACACTGTACATGAAATTTAAACTGCTAAACTCCTTTTTTGAGAGATTCTTCCTATTGGATTGGGACTGAGACTTCTAGCAACTAGGTTCTGTGCTCCAAGGACATAGAACCAGCACCTATCATTCTGTGACTACTTGAAGGTGGGGGCCATATATCCTTTTCCTGTTGTTCCTTAATTCCCAGTGCCAGGCTCTATATGGAGGTTATACTTGTTGAATATTGTTTTGGCTTTTAACAGACTCTTAAACTTTGATGGCATAATGTGAAGGCAAGATGAACTGAGCCCGTGACTTAGATGTTTATCTTCCTGTCCCTCTCTACATTTTAGGTCATTTCTGACTTTGACATGACCCTGACTAGGTTTGGATTTAATGGAAAACGATGTCCTACATCTTACAGTAAGTCATGTATTGATCGGCATTGTGGTTGACTTTGCTGTTAATGGTTCCTGTAGGGGTAGGTAATGGAGTTTTTGTGTTGTTATTTTTTTCCTAGATATCCTAGATAATAGCAAGCTCATCAGTGAGGAATGTCAGAAAAAGGTGGGTTATCCTTGAAGAGTGTTGATGTGCTAATTCAAATGCCTGTGGGCCAAAAGAGGACAGAGTGGGGATGGGGAATGGATCCATGATTTCCCAGGTATAACGACCTCCCAGGTGAGGAAATTTCCTCTACCAATGCAGGTTGGTACTATCTTGGCAACATATTGTGTAGTCTTTAGAGAGCTGAGTGGTTCTCAATTTTTTTTAGTCTCAGGACCCCTTTACGTTCTTAAAAATTATTGAGGATCCCCGAAGAGCTTCTGTTTATATGAGTTGTAGCTATTGACATTTACCATGTTAGAAATGAAAGCATCTTAGTCTTATTATGAAAATAGTTTTGATCTCATGATCCCTTGGAAAGGTCTCAGGGACCCCCAGGGGTTTCCTGACCACATTTTGAGAACCAATGGTCTAGAGTTCTTAAAGGTTAAGTGACTTGCCCAGAGTCACACAGCCAGTCTGTGTCAGAGGCAGGACTGGAACCCAGGTCTTTCTGGCTCCAAAGCCAACTTTATGTCCACTATGCCAAGCTGCCTCTCACAGAGTAAAGACTTTAAAAACATATTAAGTTTGTTATTATTTTTATTGCTCAGGTAAACCTAGCTTTTTAACATCTATTTAATTGGGATGTATTCCTTCTGGTAATATTTTCATTTATTCCACACACATTTATTAAAGGTGTATGATGGGCAAAAGCACTGAACTAGTGACAACTTAATTTCTGTAGTGCTTTAAGATGTTTAAAATCTTTTTCAATTTTTAAAATTCTTTTTCTGTGTCCTGTGGGTGGAGTAAGTAGCAAAGCATTATTATTTACATTTCACAGATAAGGAAACTGAGGCACAGTGAGGTTAATTGAGTTTGCTGAAGGTTATCACTTAGCCAGTAAGTGAGGAAACTGAGGTCTTCTGACTGCAAAAGCAGTTGTTTTTGCCAGCCACCACAGCTGTTTCTCTAACATAATAGCTTTTTTTTTTTGGAGACAGCACAGTCTTCTGAAAACCTCATGGTAGGTAGGATAAATTCCTAATTGTAGAATTCGATCAATGCACTGGCAATCATAATAGCCACCCCCAGTGGGCAATATTATGCCTTGATCATGTTGTTCTTTAATACCCATACCTAATTCAACTTCTGTGCCAACTGTGGCTTTTGATTTCTAGGCAACTAAGATATTTCTGATGAGTAAGATGGTTCTGTCGATAAGCTTAGGTGAATTAAATAGCAGAATATTTGGCCTGTTGGCCTGAGCATGTTGGTCTTTTATGTACCTGTTACATATCCATAATATTCACGATCATTATTTATTATTGCTTTTTTGAGTCTTCACATAGCTCTTCCATTTATAGAAGAAGGCTCCTGATAGGTAGTGGTATTTTGGAGTGTCAGTGAAAATTGGAAAGGCTGGCTTTCTAAACTAGACTTCACTGTGTAAGAGAGATAGCCAGTGAAAAGAATCCCAAACTTGAAGTCCAGAGACTTGGTTTTGAATTGAGGCTGTGACATTAACTAACTGGATAACTCTAGACAAATCACTTCTCTCTGAGACTTCCTTTCCTTGCCTTCAGTGGGGATGATCATACTAGTACTATCCAATATGTGAGTTTGTTGTCAGCAAAGCAATTTATAAACGGGAGCAGTATACAGATTATTCTCAAATTGGTTAAATCAATTATTGTGCATCTACAAAAGGGAGATAATATCCCTGGTTTTTCAGTCTTGTTTCTGGTCCTTATCTTACCCACTCCTCCGGCTTTGAGAATGTCGTTGGTACAAATAAGAGAGTAGTTTTGGGATCTTCAGAAGAAAGATATTAGAGGCACTCACTTTGGCAACACATGTAATAAAACTGGAATGCGCAAGGATGATATACAAATTCATGAAGTGTTCCATATTGTTTGATTGAAAAAATATATAATTTAGGGGAAAAAGGAAATATTAGAGAAAAACGAAGGTACTGCTGCTTGGCCTTGTTTGAATGTTAAATGGGGGTCCTGAAAAGTTAGGTGTAAAACACATACATATGTAACAATACTTGTGCATTTTCCTGTTTTGTTTTAATTTTAGAGAGGTTTTTTGTTTGTTTTTTTTCCTTCTCTGGCTTCCCAACCCCCACCCCCACAAAGAATAGTATAGAAGATAGAAAGCTGTTCTCAGAGTCAGAAAAACCTGGGTTTAGGTACCATCTCTGACACAAAGATAAATTGCCTAATCTCTCGGTTCTCTAGGCACTCTTTATGACTGTGGAGCATATACTGGTCACTACACCTTCTCCTTGGTCCTGGGAATTTCCTTTTGGGAGTTTTCTATACCAATAAAATCACAGGTCCTTCCCCCACCAATTTTCTACCTTAAAAAATGTTGGAGCCAAAATGTAATGTAATCCTCACATTCATTTCAAGGAACATTCTGCCTTTGTTAGTGTATAATATTAGGCATTTGGTTCTCCTACATGGAACAGTTCATGTAATCTGGCACAATCATTTGAAATGACATAGATGTTAGAATTCATTACTTTTGTTAATTTTGTTGAGCGTTCCCACTGGATGACTATGGAATTATTTATCTAAGCAATCACATTGGGAGGGCAAGACATCCTAGGTATTTAGAAGAAGCTGTCCCTAGTTAGAAGTGGTAGAAAGGCTTTTCATTTAATCCAGCTAGATTGAATAGTCTCTGTAGAATTGGCGGGAAATATTTGTTGGCCTTAGTGATTAGATTATTTGATGATAAAGGGATTTTAACACTGATTTAATACTGATACCTGCTAACCATTTGTGCTGTTGACA